AGATCCCTGTGATATGGTGTTACCCTGAAAGAAGCGTGAGTGGGGAACCCCAAAGGTCCAGAGTGTCTTAGGAGTCAGCGATAGCCTAGTGCGGTGTGTCTCAACTAGAGGTGGACAGAGGTCTTCTAGGGGGTACATCAACTCATCTAAATATTTGCCTAGTCTAACAGTCTACATAAAAAGCATGAAGAGGTTCAAAACAAACTAAAATTTCATATAGATAATGACTTGTTTAGACTGCTCTGTACAGGCAGTCCCTGACTTGCGATGCAGTTGGTTCCTGGGGAAGCGTCACAAGTTGGGGGTGTCGTAACTCAAACCCTCATTTACAATAGGCGCCATGCGCTGTCGTAAATGTAGGCCAAGGATGTAAGTCGGGGGTTTTCGGTCCCTTCCGCACTTACAAAAAGTGCGAGTGGTCGCAAATCGGGGGTTTCCTGTATACTATACACTGAAATGTAAGTACCATACATTTGAACCTCTTTAATCCAGCATACCATTTCCCAGGGTACTGTTTCTCAGATTTTGCCAGCCAGAGAGGGTGCTGTGGGTGGGGGAGTTGATCTAGCACCCTATGCTCTCTGCTGCTCCCAGGCACCACGCTGTCACTATGAGAGCAGCAGGGAAAAGCCTCCAGGCAAGCGGTTTCCTGCACTACCATTCCCCCCAGCTGGGGGAAGGGAGAGCAACAGTGTGCAAAGCCATTTCCTTCCACTGAAGGCTGGAACAAGGCTGCGAGGCTCTTCCTCCCCTTCCCACCTCCAAGCAGGAAGCTGGTGGTGGTGCTCCAACCTCATGAGGAGTTAGGGACACTTGGAGTATGCAGGTTTAAGTGTATTTATATTTCAATTGATTTATAATTATGTGCTCAGTTTTACCATAATGGTAATTTTTCAGAAATAGTGTAAAATTTCAGAAATTTTATACCCAGTAAAGTTGATGGTTACCAAGTAATTGGTTAATCAGTTACCTCTTTACATCCCTAGTAATAATTAGTAATTTATTTATGTTTAATGGTTGGCTTATAAACCTTTATGATCTAGAGCAGGGGTAGGGAAACTTTGTGTTGAGGGCCGCTGACCCATAGAAAAATCAGTCGGGCTGCACGCAAGTGAGAAGCAAGTTGGGGAGTGAAGTGAGGTGGCCAACTGAGGAGAAAAACGTTCTTCTCATTCCCCTTTCACACCAGAGTGTTGGGGAAGGCCCAAGATGATAGATTCTGTGTGCTCCAGCCCTGCAAGGGCACAGCTGGGAGGCTGGAAAACCAGTGTAGGCTCCCCTATGCTGTGGGGAGCCCTGAGCCTCAGGGGCTAGATCCAGGTAAGTTGGGGGCTTCACTCTGTACTGTAGGATACATATAGGTATGCCTAGTTAGCATTTTGAAGTCCACGGGAGAGAGCCTTCCAGCCTGGGTCAACAGACTGAGAGTAACAGAGTTCATACTAGAGATCCAAAATTAGCTGTGTAGCCTTCGCTTTGAAGCTGTAGCTTGAGCTGGAGCACAGGTTTTGAAGCCTATCCCTCTCCTGGCTTTCAAAGCATAAACTTCAGCCTGAACTGAAACTTCAAAGCACTATGTACACAGCTATTCTTAGAGCACCAGCATGAGCCTGCAGCTCTGGCCAGTCACCTATCCATGATAGAAGCACAGCTCCATCATGGGACCAATATTTTGTCTTTGAGGATCCCCTGTAGTAGGTGTGACCTGGACTATAAGGCTCATTTCCTTGGGTTTCAGTGCTTTTGAGAATCTTGCATGACAGATACTATAAAGTACAAAGTGTTGTGATCAGAGAGAGGGTTGGACCGCAAAGTCTGTTTCTGACTCCAAATGCTTGCATAGTTGAGAGGAGTATTAGATTCCAGAGTTTTGGCTCCGTTCTGTCTCTAGCCGTGACTTTATTAAATGGGAGCAGACTGGGAATGCAGTTGAAGCAGTGTGGAAAATGGAGATAATTAGATTTCTTTTTCAGTAGGTGATTACAACCACCAGACAAAGTCATGTAGCAAGTCACAGATCGGTTTATGCTGGTGTATTGGGCCACAGGCTTTGACACTGTCCCTCTCTAGAGATTTCCCTGTATAAATAAATCAAAAAATATTTGGTTTTCTTGGAGGGGACAGGGAATGCAAAGAAGTCTTTAGGAGGTGAGTGCCATATGGGTGACTAAAATGGGAGAGGGCCCTATTTTGAAAGCAGCTTTGCACTTGCTCAGATGAATACAGAATATATTGTTATTTTTATCCTGCGATGGGTCATAACTTTTAAAACTAGTGAACGTTTCTCACTCTAAAAACACGCTTCCTTTTATAGTGTACACAAGGCTGTGGTTTTACTGCATTTAGCATAGAGCTATTTCCTATTTTCCAGTTGTTCAGTGACACTCCAAAGCCCTTACTCTGTCTCCCTCTCCATTGACTTTCTTGCCTTGCTGATCCATAATTGTGATTTTCTTTTTAAGGAGACAACGCCAGTGTTGAGCTTTTAATGTGCCATAAGCAGGAAGTTCAGCTATTTCCTCCTCCTGTGAGACCATGATGTCATCAGTTGTTCTGGGTCACTTGATTTGTTGCTGCTGTTGCTCTGGTGTATATGGAAAAATGTAAACAGCACTTTCCAGATGTTCTCAGGGTGGCTGCAGACCCATAAATGGGCTGTTCAGTTCAGAAACATTAGTAATGTGTTTAAGAGTGGCAGTGAATAGAGCCATAAAAATGTATAGCACTATCAGCATCCAGCCCAGCATGCTCTGTCAGTTACATCACGTATGCGGAAAAGCTGGCAAGGGGGCCAGTTCCCTATGTGTATGTACTTGGGCGCAGGGTGCAGTATCCGAGCACATCACAGACATTAATGAGTTTATCCTCACAGGACATCAAGGGAGGATTTCATAGGTGGGGAACTGGGGCACCGGACGATTTAAGTGATTTTGTTATGTGGCTTAGTCAGGCATCGAACAAAGTGTGTGTGTGTGTGTGTGTGTGTGTGTGTGTTGGGAGGGAGAGAGAGAGGAGAAACAGGCATTTATAAAGATAAACAGTAGACAGTGTTCTAGTAGGTCTGTGGCAGGCAGGTGCTAATCTTTAATCTGTTCTGCCTCCAGGTGGTGTGTCAAGGAGCTTGTTATATTTAGGGATGTTAGTGTAAAGTCATGTAAACGAAGCTTATCAGTTAATCCAAATGACTACATACACTCCCTCTTCTCTCTCTCCCCTCTATATCAGAAGCAGCAAGGTGGGGGGAGGCAGGAGCTGGCTCCCCAGGAGCACCAGATCATGCAAAGCCGCCTGCCCACCCCCACTCTGCACTGCTGCCTCTGATAGAGAAGTAGCAGTGCAGAAGGTGAGGGGGCCAGCAAAAGCCAGCTCCATGGAGATGTCTGCTTCCCCCTTGCTGCCTCCCACAGAAGAGAGAGGGCGGGTGGAAGCCAGGGCACAGCCTTCACGGAGCCACCTCCTGCCCCCTGCACTGCTGCCTCTGATATAGAGGCAGCAGTGTGTGTGTGTGTGTGGGGGGGGGGGGGCAGGGAACAGATGGGATGGTTACCAGGAGCTCAGAGGGTGGAAGAATGAATCTTAATCTTCTGTTTTCTGTGAGATAATGCGGGTGGTTATAGTGTCCAGTTTGGGATTGGAGAGTTCTCACTGCAAGGAACTTAAAAAAACAAAAACAAAAAACCCTCAAACCCAAGGCAATTTTTGGTGGGGAACTGGTCACATCACACTTCAGGATGTAGGTTTTCTTTTTAGTGAACTAATTACTTTTTATTGAGTCTTGGAAAATATGATGCCAGACCTGCATTGTGGCAGGGCATGGTGGAGCACAAGTTGATGGGAAATACTATAGCCAAGATCATAAGGCAGTGAAAGTTTAACTATGGGAGTTTAAAATAGCAAAGTTGAGCCATGTTGGTATTAAAAGACATGACTGAATAGAAATAGCAGTCTAATATTAAACTAGTTTTCTTTTCGTGGAGTGAGGGGAAGCAAATTGCCCGGTTGGTATCTCTCCCTATGTCTTATATCCAAATATAGATTTCTTACCTCAATTCTATGACTTATTAAATTATTGCCTGGAGACTGACGAGGAAAAAGCTGCAAACACTGAACACACAACACAGTGCAAGTTGCTTTGTGGATTAGCTTGCAATAGTTTGTGTGCTTTATCAACGTCATAGTACATACAGCGTTGGTGTAATGCCACTGAAATCAACTGGACTAATATTTTCCCTTAAGTTTCTTGTCAATTGAAGCCAGAACTCTCTGGAGCTTTTTCCAAGCTCTTTCCATGAATCCCTGCTGCCATGTCACCTTTCTTTGTTTTCAATGATTTCAGCAAGGGATACTGGGTCCTGTATGTTAGTGTGCAGATGTTTTAGCCTCCAGAGATCTGGATTCAAAATGTCATATCTCTAAATGAAAATGTGTGGTTTTCTTCTCCTAGTCTCTGGGTCTGCTTGTCAGTACCTTCAAAATGATTGGCCAGTCCCATGACACTAGCAGCCTCTCTGATCGAGGTCCGAAGTGGCTGCTGCAGGTGAGCACAGTGGTGCATTCAGAGACGAGCATTTGTAGCGAGCCTGCCTAGCTTGTACTGGGCTCAGTTCCTTGCATTTATGAGCCCATAGTTTGCATACAAATTATTTGAAAAGGAAAAAGAATACTCTTTCTGATGACATCATTGATTATACAATGGTCTATGATTTGTCCACCTTAACCTATTTTTTCCCAATGTTAACTAAGCAGAGTGCGGAGAACCAAGAAGCAAGGCAAGGGAGGTGGAAGAGGGAGCTTACTAAGGTAGAGCCTAAAAACAGTTCAGTTACATAACTGTACGGAAGGAAAGGGTTTTGGGATTTTTTTTTCATGTCCTTTTGTAAAATGAAAAATGTTGTTGGAAACATGAATGGAAAAATCCTGAGCATCATTCAACTTTGCAGGGGCAAGAAATATATTGAAAAATTCCACCTGTTTTATGACTGCTGCTTTTCTTCTTTCAGGTTTGATATCTACAGGAAGGTGCCAAAAGACCTTACACAGCCAACTTATACAGGAGCTATTAGTAAGTATCAGCTCTCATTGCTGTCGCTGCACATTCCAGTCTAAAATTAGTATTTTTTTTGGCCTCCCTCTAAAAGATCTGATTGTTAAACGGATGGTAAACACAGGAGAAAAGGCATCTCCTGTAGCTGAGGCAACCTGCTGTGACTGGCTTGTGCTCTTGTATGGAGGAGCTAGACAGCCCAATAAGGCAGCTTGGGTTTAGAACTAAATGGACAGAAAATGGCAATAAGAAAGTTGTTAAAAACAGGCTCTGAAGTCTCCAACCTTTTAACTCTGACACAGGCTGAAGTAGATGGGGAGCTGCTTAGCTCACTGCTTTGATGGGTGTGTGCCTGCTCCAAACAGACTTTGCAGTTCCTGACATGTTTTTTCTTCTATTTCTCCTCTGTCCTATTAGAAACACCCTCACCCCAACCATATGAGGCTGACGGGGAACTAGAGGCAACCCTGTTTGTAGCCAGGAAATACTGACCTTTTTCTGCCCAAAAATACTTGCTGGTGGGTGGCGTGAGGTACTAGCCCATATCAATGCCAGGACCTAAGCTCTGGTGTCAGGCTCTGAGACCTGCTGGGGATATTGTGGAGGCATTACACAGAGAGTGAAGAAGCCTCTTGTAGGATAAGAACTGCCATATTGGTTCAGCCCAAGTGGTTCATTTAGCTCGGTATCCTGTCTCAGGCAGTGGCCCAAACCAGAGCTCTCAGGGCATATGCACAAAACAGGGCAATTGGGTGACCCACCCCAGTCTTCTCCTACTGGCAGTCAGAGGGTTAGAGTTGCCCCAAATATAGGGCGGCATTTCTGATCACCTTGGCTAATAGCCATTGATGAACCCATATCCCACAAACTTACTTGAATTTAAAGAAAAATACCACCACCTAGTTATACTTTTGACCTTCAGCATCCCACAGCAATTAATTCCACAGTGTTTTATGTGGAAAAAATAATTTCTGTTGAATTACACCTGCTCCCTGTTAATTTCATTAGGTGGTTTTCAGTATTGTTGCAAAAGTAACAGCACCTACCCTTAGAGCCTAATCTGGAAGCCATCCACTGTTCTGTGTTAGGTGTTCACAGCTGAGCAGAGTGCAGCTCCTTCATGTGACTGCAGCTGCTGATCTTCTCACCCCCAAGTGGTTACTGCGACCTACTGCAGTGTCCTGTCAACTAGGGCAGTGTTTCTCAACCTTTTTTTTTTTTTTTTTTTATAAAGTATCCTTTTAAAAAAATATAAGTACCCCCAGCTCTAACCCAATGCCCTTCCCCTTTCCCTCCCCCAGAGCCAGGCACCCCCGGATGCTCTTTTTCTTTTATTAATACCCTCAGCCACGTGATTCTCCTTCCAGGCGCTGGGGCGTGTGCGCAGAGGGTCCGTGACTTGTCCAGGCGTGTGGCTCCGAAAGACAGTCACACGTTCCGTTGAAGCCGCCCCCTCTCTGAATCCTGGGCGCTTTTTTTTTTTTTTTTTTTTTTTTTTTTTCAAAGCTGTCTGGATGGCAATTTAACATGGGAAAATGAGGATAGCTTGTCTGCGGGGAGCAAGTGGCCCGCCAGCGCTGGGCTCGCTGTGTGGGGCTGTGCGCTCCCACTCCAGCCCGGCGTTCCTCTAACGTGGCATCTGGGGGCAGCTGCCCCCCGCCCTCCATCCCTCCTTGCTACACCACTGGCCAGACCCACCCACCCCCAACTTGGAACTGCCCTGGGTCTCACCAGAGCTGCTGCCACTGTAGCCATGCACTTTTCCCACTAGGTGCTGGGGCGCGTGCGCAGAGCAGCTGTTAATGTCAGGGTGCGTGGCTCCAAACGTTAAATTTGACAGACACATGCCACTGCCCCCTCCCCGATCCCCCTTTGCAGGGCAAAATCCCAGACATTTTTTGTCAGATTTCACTTGTGTTTCCATACCCTTCCCCCCCCCCTCCCCGACTTCTCTCGCATACCCCTAAGGGTATGCATAGCACTGGTTGAGAAACACTGAACTAGGGACACCTGGCAACTGAGCTTTGGACTCAATTATCTTAAATAATTTTGTATAATCGGGAGATTTTGCTACTTCTGGATCATTCATGAATTGATCCTTTTTCTGGAACAATGAATTAATGAATATGTTGAACAGTACAGGTCCCAGAATAGACACTTTTTATTTATTTCTGTCCTTTGTCTCCTATCTTTTAACTAGTTACTGATTCAGGAGAGGATTTTCCCTGCTATCGTAGGACTATTTAATTTCCTTAAGTGCCTTTGATGAGGGACCGGCTTTCTGAAGATCCAAGTATGCCATATGAACTGGATCAACCCTACCGATATACTTGTTGACTCCATCAGAGACTTCTAATAGATTAATGAGGCATTACTTCCTTTTACAAAAGCCATGTTGACTCTTCCCAACAAAATCATAATTACCTGTTTATCTGGTAATTATTTTCTTTACTGTAGTTCCTACCAATTTGCCCTCTACTTCAGTGCGGACAGTACTGCAGATTTGTTGCCCAAAAAGGACAAGCGCTCAGATAGGAATCTTCCTGCACATGTCTGCAGTGAAGATCAATACAAAGGACTCATTTAGCTCATCTGCAATGGCTTTGTCTTCCTTGAGTGCTCTTTTAACAACTGGTTGTCTAGTGGCTCCACTATTGGTTTGGCAGGCTTCCTGTTTCAGATATACTTAAAAAAATTCTTACCAGTAGATTTTTGCATCTTATGTAAGTTGCTTCTCAAATTCCTTCTTGGCCTTTTATTATACTTCCACATTTTACCTGCGAGTTTTGTGCATCTAGGATTTAGCTTCTAAATTTTAAAGGATCCTTTCTGCCTCTAATGGCCTTCATTACTCTGCTCTTTAGCCAGGGTGAAATTCTTTTTGTCCTCTTATTGTGTTTTCTGATTTGGGGTATCCATTTAATTTGAGCCTTTGTTATGGTCTTTTAAAACATTTCCCATGCTATCTGCAGGCCTTTTACTTTTGTGACAGCTCCATTTAATTTTCATCTCTTTAAGTGGCCTTATTTTTATGTTGTTCCTGCTTTAAATGTTACTGAGTTGGGTTTCTTTGCTATTATCCTCTCTGCAAGAATGCTAAATGTATACACTATGGTCACTATTACAGAGCAGTTCAGCTATTGTCATCTTTTGGACCAAATCCTGTGTTCTGCTTAGGACTAAATCAAGAATTGTCTTACCTCTTATGGGTTCCATAACTAGCAGCTCCATGAAGCAGTCATTATGTATCTAGAAACTTTGTCTACATCCTGGCCTGAAGTGACATTTACCCAGTCAATAAGAGATGAGTTAAAATCATCCCTTGTTATTGTGTGTTCTGCTCTTGTACCCTCTCTAACCTCCCCTCATCATCTCACAGTCACAGTTGGTCCTGGGATGGTCATAATGATGGGGTTCCTCTGGGATCAGAAATGCGGCTGTTGGAGAGGAGAGCCCAATATGACTCATATATGCTGCATTTTTTGTCTTTTATTTTTCACCTTGTCATAAATTGCTTTAACAATCCACTCCACACCCCATGTACCTGTGCGTAGTTTTGGCTGATGTAAATTTCTCGCCTTGGGCCTTTCTTCTTCCTTCCTCCTTTTCAGATTGATTGAGTAATGCAATTTCACACCATCACAGCCACCGAGTGCTCTGTGTGGAGTGGTAAATACATATCTAGCTGATCCTGCCAAATTTGTAATCGGATGCCTAATGCAGCTTTCCTGTTCCATTTCACACTGACTCCCTTCGATCACATAGTTGAGCACCATTCACTCACTCACTGAGATTGGGTCAATGACCCTGTTTTCTTTGCTGACACAAGTGATGTCATATCCCTTGGCGGCAACAAGCATTGAATAGAACTGAGTAACAGTGAATCAGAAGGATGTGAAGCGAAGGGCTGCATGAACCAGGGACGCTCCGGATCAGAGATTGGATGAGAATATTTGGTGTCACTCTACCATTTCTCTTTAGAGGGTCCATGTCCTCCTTGCTCTCCCAATCACTGAATTACTCCAGCTTTGACCCTACTCCCCCATTAGTTGTGGTGTAGCTGCTAAGATTATTCACGATATGCTAGTAAAGAGGTCTGTAGAGTGCGCGCACACGTCATAAGGAGTGCACAGACCTCTTGACCAGTTTGGAGGCCCCTCAGATCTGTTATGATGAAGGGATTCTTAGTGTGTGTTGAGGCCCCAAAACATCCTTCTATTTGGGGAGTGACAGTCCCACATCTTATCTTGATTCCATTTGGGAGCTTGCCCTCTAGTGCAGTTGTCACCATATCATCTGAAAAAGAGCTTTTCAAAAGCTCTTTTAGAGCTGGCCCCGTGTGGCCTTCTCTGATCTGTGACATTTGATTCATGCAGTAAGTTTGTCTTGGAAAACTTTGGAGGCTGGGATAGGGATGTGAATGAGTAGTCGACTAGACGATTAACCGATGCGCCTATGCTTATTGGTTAATCTAGTTGACTACTTGCGTTTCTCCCTCTCCCCTTCCTGTCTCTTTATTAGAGGCAGCAAGGTGGTGGGAAGCAAGAGCAGCCTCTGTCTGCGGTGAGCCTGGGTCTGCCACAGGCAGAGGCTGATTTGCAGCAGCAGCCCCTGTCTACAGGGGGTCTGAGCTCCCTGTGGACAGAGGCTGCTACCAGAGCAGCCTCTGTCCGCAGCCAGCCAGGGCCACTGCGAACAGAGACTGCTTCATGGAAGCTTTGCCTGCCCACTTCCCCCTCCAACAGCTTCTGTGTATGGGGAGCCCAAACCCCATGGACAGGGGCTGCTGCCACCCCACACTTCTGCGTCTGTATCGGGGCAGCAGCACAGGGCAGCAGGCAGCCATTCCGTAAGGGGAGCTGCTTTTTAAACTGGCTTCCCTTGTGGACTAGCTCCCGCCTGGCACCCCGCACTGCTGCCTCTGTATCTGAGCGGTGCTGGGGGCCCCCCAGGAGTAGGGCCAGATTGCAGTGGCTGCTGGCCCCTCCCTCTGGGACTATAGAATAGTCAACTAACCT